ATATATATATATATATATATATTATATATATATATATATATATATATATATGTATGTGGTCGTTCGGAAAGTAATTCGTTTTTTCACACGAGCGTCGCTAGTCGAACACTTTGTCCAGCCAACTTCAGTCTATACTGTGTTCTGTTATCGTTGTATACATCGAGAGTTGGCATTTCAATTCGGCGCAAGATGCGAAATCAAGATATATTTTTGGCATATTTTATTACCGAAAGATAAAAAGAATGGTGTCCAGGCGAGGAAAAAGGCCAATGGGAAAAAAATTGGATCATCTCGACAAGGGATCAAGTTTCCTCGCAATGATTAATTCATCTCCTTCTGGCAAACTTCGATAACGAAGTCAATAGAACGAGTTTCGAACGAGCAAACATCCTTCGACTTGTCTCCCTTCAATTTTCTTCGAGTGAAAAGAAGCCAGGTATTTATCACGTATTTATCACGGACAAAATCGAAGATGCCGAGAATCGAGAAAGGGATCCACGAAAATTCACTTCGTTCGTTCGTTCGTTCCTTCGAAGCGAAAACACCGGCGAGCATGCAAATTTCACCCTTCCATTCGGTCGGTCGGACATGATTAAACACAGAAATGCCGTTGTTTCAACCCTCTCCCCTTGTCCCTGGTACCTCTGGAGGCGCGCCGTATCCCTAGGATTCATCCCTCAGTTTAATCACCACCACCCTTGAAAACTCTCCGGTTCACGGTGGCATTCAATAACGTGGCCAGTTCCCACAACCCCTCTCTCTTTCTCTCTCTCTCTCCCCACAGTGGAAGAGCGGAGAATTTATCTCGTTACGTTTTGATTCTGTCGGCGGATTCAACGGCGGAGGCCGCGGGAACGCGACCCTCTAATTGCTATTCATCCCTGCCCATTGATAAACTCTTTGCCTCCTCGCCCTTCTTAATTGGAATCATTGCTGCGGGAAATTTCGGTGTCTAACGTCGTGGAAAGGATACATTTTCTTTATTAATTATAACCTCGTGGAAGGGTCGAGTCGGGCGCTTTTCGTGTAATATCAGTCGATAACGTTTACTAATTAATTGGCACGGATTTTAATTAGATTCTTAATTTTGCAATTACTCGTAAACTCTACTTAACCTATATTTCCTTTTTTTCTTTTCTTCGAGTGTAACGAGTTCTTTTTTTCGTATTAGTTATAACTATTTCGACAAGTGTACGAGTCTCGAGCTAAGAAGAGTTGGTGGTTTCAAAAATTCAGGCGTGGAAACGAGAATGAAAATTGAACGAGGACGAATCGAGAGCCAAAGCGTCTCCCACGATGGTTTTCGAATGGAATGGATGAATAAAATTGGAAAAGTGGATAACCGCGCCAACTGACGGACGATTCGCGTACGAATTTATCGGAATCATTGTTACGGGAAATTTCGGTGTCGAACGTCGTGGAAAGAAATGCATTTTCTTTATTAATCATAATCTCGTGGAACCGTCGAATCGTGCTTTTCAAGTAATATCAATCGATCCAGTTCGCGTTTACTAATAAATTGGCAGGTTTCAATTAGATTCTTAATTTTTCAACCATCACTCGTAAACTCTACTTAACCTATATTCTGTTCTTTTATTTCCTTCCCGTGCAACGAGTCCTTTTTTGTATGTTAGTTACAACTTAGTTTTTTGACAAGTGTACGAGAGTTTCGAGTTGAGAAGAATTGGTGGTTTCAAAAATTCAGGCGTGGAAACGAGAACGTTGAAAATTGAACGAAGACGAATCGTGAGCCAAAGCATTTCCAACGACGGTTTTCTGACGTTCGAGTAAAAAGTGGGTAACCGCGCCAACTGACGGAGGATCCGCGTACGAAACGGCAAAAATCCATTTTCGAATAGAATTGTACAACAAATTGTGATGAGAAACGGACACCGCATAATAATCGTGCGCGATCTGGTCGTTGATAAAAATTTGAAAAAGTCATCTTTGACTTCATACCATCGAAAAATCGATCGAAAAACGAGCCGCGTTAATCGCGTTAGACCTATTCTTTCGCGACATACCACTCTACAAAAATTAGCCCACCGATCGATCATCAATTCGTTCCTCCATTTACGTTTGCTCTTTCAAGAAACAAAATATTCGCGGCGCTCGAACAATTTCTTCCTGTGGTCGAAACCACCAAGTTTCATAAAAATGGAATCTCGTTGGGAAAACACGGTTCGAAACATACATTGTTTATCCAACGAGTCGACGATCCGTGAAAAAGAAACGATCGAAATAATTTTACGATCGCGAAGAAACGCTCGCGCGTAACACTTTCATCCACGGACCGTGGACGGGAAAAGCAGGGATCGCGACAAAGCGGGCGAAGGGGAGGGCTGCCTCTAAATCTTTGCAGAAGAGGCAGAGAGAGGAAGCGACAGATTGTTTCGTTGCATAGGAAACGTACAACCGCATTTATACCGCTAAATGGGATCTCGTCTTTCTCTCTATGCCTCTGTATCTCTTTAACCGTTATGTTATGGCCAACGCTCTCTCTCTCTCTCTCTCTCCCTCCCTCCCCGCCTCTTCCCCTCTATCTCCCTCTTATATAGCATCGCGTTTACGTTTACGAGCACCACCGCTGACGTTTACGAGCCACCGGCTGACGTACGAGCCACTTGCTGCTCTCTTCGCTCCAACCTCCATTCCTCGCCTCCGTCGTTTACGTAACGTTATTTCCAACGTTATCTCCCCCTCCCCTCCCCTCTCCAAATTTCCTTTCGCTCGACCGCTCCTCCGCTCGCTCTCGAATTCGAAACATTTCGGAATCGAACAAGTTGGAAGCGTAAAGAATAGGATGTTGACGCGTTTAATCGGTTGAAGTAGGGAGGAAGGGAGGGATTAGCGAGAAGATGGGAAGGAAAAGAAATATATATATTTTCCCTTCTGGGTGGGGGAATTCGGCGGCGGAAAATCGGTTTTGCATTTCGTCCACGTAACCAACGTCCATTTCGGGAGGCGGGGCGCGGCGTTTGAGCGATTTATGGGTTCGGGAACCGCATTGTATCTGTACGCGCGGCGTACGCCCTCCCTCCCCGCGCAGCGACGCACCTGACGTGACGTGACGTGACGTGACGCAACTGACAAGTCGGAAACCCGTGGCCTGGCTGATCTTGCGCGCGCTTGCCTAACCTAACCTCCTCCTCCTCCTTCTCTTGCGAAACAACACCCATCGTCTCCTTTATCCCTTATTCCTTTCCTTTCTCTCCTTTTTTATAAGGAGGGCAAAATTTATCGCCCGCGAGCTTTTGTTCCAAGGGATGAGGGGGTGAAAAGAAAAGGAGGAAAGTTGTTCAAAATTGTGTACATACTATGGCCAGCTATGGAGAGGAGAAGAAGAAGAAGAGGGAGGAGGGCGATAAGTACCCAGGATCAAGGACTTGGGCTTGGCTGCCGGCCATATTTCTGGAACGTGGTTTTCTTCCCTCCCTTTGCGGTTCGGATCCGCACGGTATCGCGAATTGATATTCGCATCTCTCTTTCGCGGAGATAACGCTTCTCTCTCTCTATGGTATGGCGATCGTTGGTACGTCCAGTGATTCTTTCGAGCCACCCGATGCGTTTTTCCGATTAATACTTACTTAAGTTTCTTAAGTAAATTCGTTTCTTCGATCGATTAAATTTTAATTGGAGAGATGATATCGGAAGAGACTATTAGCGACAGTATCTTACTTACTTTCTTGTAAATTCGTTTTTTAAATCGGTAAAACAAGGATCCTTGATTTTGAATAATCCACGAATTGAGAGGCACTGGTACGCGTTATTTGTATTAAAAAAAAAAAAAAAATGGATTCCTCCATAACGCGGATTCTTCTTCTAATCCAAAGCCGTCTCTTTCGCCTCTTGATTTCAGAATAATCAAGACCTTCATGATCATAAATCCATCCGGCGGATGGAAAAAGAGGAGGGATGCGAGAAACAACAAAGATCGGGATCGAACGTGTATCTCGCCGGCCATTCTTCTTGTCCCTCGAGTGGAGAATTCCAGCATCGGCGAGTAATTGCCGCGGTCATTAGCGGCGGGCGTTCTTGAATTAATAATGACGTCACTACAACGCCTAGACACTTCTGTTTGGCTTTAATAAGGAGACGACAGGTCGCGTCCCTCCCTCCCTCCCTCTCCCTGATTAACTATCTTCCGACGCTAATTATATCCCCCGAGTTGTTAGCCACCCTACGTCGTCGTCGTCGTCACGTCGTCCTACGACCAAGACGTCGTCGTCAAGAGTCGCGTTTCATCGCGCCAGGCGAAAACGAGTATCTCAATTTTCCACGAATTTTCCTTTGATATCGAAATCGAATTCTAATATTTCATTCCTATTCCAAGCGAGAGAGAAACCTTATTAACCGTGGATTTTTCAAAAGAGTTTATCAATTTTCCCAAACTTTTTTTACTTCGATATTTTTGGATTTCATCGAAGAAGGACGCTTTTATCCCCTCTTCTTTTCCGCTCTCTTTTCGAGAAACGAGGAGGGCGACGACGCGGCAACCGGACTTCCGGGGAGGCCTGCCTGCTCCCCTTCCTCTCCATTGTCCCTTCCTCCTCCTCTTTCCGGCAAGCGAGGAGTTTCTCAAGAGGACACAGTTCCCCTCCCCTCCCTCCTTTTCGAGACGGCCGCTTCTTCCCCGGCGTTCTCTCATGATTCATCGCCGCCACGATGGATTATATCCCATAGTTGACCATAGCTTCCACAGATGACGATGCCCGATTTATGGCGCGAGATTAATGGCCCCGTTTCAGATTTAAAAAGGCGCTGGAAAATTGCACGAATCCGCGAAACAAATCCACCCGTCTTCCTCCCTTAAGGGGAGCAATTGGTGAAAAATTTAATAATAAATCGATCCCTTAAAGAAAACTTTCTAACTCGTTCGAGCGAGGTAAAGAAGTCATCGAGGGAGGCGAGGATCAAAGGACGTACACGCGCTGCCTCGTAAACTGGTCCTCGACCCGCCATGGCCGCCATCCCCCCTCCTCTCCTGTTGCTCTGTTTTTCGAGCCCAGCCTCGGGCAGCTTCGGGGCCCAAACGGCCGAGTTTCGAAAGTGCAACGTATTACGCGCCGCGAAACGCAATTTCGCTCGCTTTGGCGTGCAATTTGGCGGGCCACGCTTTCTCTCCAACAGAGGGGGAGGGAGAAGCTAATAATTGCTCGAATGGTTGGCAGGAGAGGGTTTGTTTCTCCTCCGTATTTTTTCCTTTTTTCAAGTATTAATTTCGAGAGGGCTTCGATCGAGTCTTTAACCGTAAATCGAATTCACGAGTTGCGGGAATTGAGCCGTTGCTGTGTTCTCGATCCTGGAAAAAAATTCGTATCGTTGTTATTTGAGAAACGGGGGGGTTTTATTCTAACAAAAAATCAATTCGAGTAAAAAAAAAAAAAAATAACGTATTTAAATATATACGGGAATAAGTAGATTATTTCGTAATCTCCAATTCCATCGAAGATGGCGCCCCAATCGAGCCTCGATCCCGCGAAAATTATTGCCATTCGCACGGCTGATCGATCGAGCAGCCAGCCACCACGGTTAATCGTAATCCATCACGTAGCAGTTATGCTACCCGATTCCGGATAAACGCACACGGCCATTTCCCTTACACCATCTTTCTTTCTCCATCATCGTTAACGGCAAGGATGTTCGACAACGTTCGAGCGTATTAAGTTATTCGAAATACGTTGGAGGAGGCCGCTTCTTGTTAACGATGGCGGACATCTGCCGGAGAATTTTCGAAACAGGCGACGGATGCTAAAGGAAGAAATT